CATGCATGCATGCATACATATCTATATATGCAGTATGTTGAATATAAACCTATCCCTAGACCTAGACTTAGACGAGGTACGCATACACATTTACATGACATGTACAAGCACATCCAAACGCGCACACACACACACAAACGTTGCGAATACATGTGCGCACACATACGCAAGAACAGGTGCATTTAAGTACATACATGCATGCAGACACCCTTACACATACTAGCATACTCAAATACGCATACTCAAATACGCATACATACTACACATACACAGATACACACATACATCCATACACAAATGCACACATGCATACATATGTACATACATACAGACAAACATGCGTGCATGTTCGGATGTGATATGATCTCCTCCGGCGGCTCTCCGCAAAGAAAGTACTCCACGTCCGTCTCGCCGGGCATGTGCGGATGTGCCTTCCCATCTTCGCCTCAGCTTCCCGACATCTTGCAAACGAGCGAAACTTCGAATAACAGCAGATGCAGGGAATCGGATGGAGTGTCAATTGCGCAAATCGTGCACAGAAGGACAAGCACGAAAAGGCTGTGCCAAGGCCTCTGCCCTTCTTGTTTTCACCTGGGGCCAGGGAGCTACTTTCACTCAACTCAAGAGATTCACCGTGTCCGAGCCTTGCTTGCATCTGCAAAGCGTGTTGATGACAGAAGCTTCGATGTCTGTCATCGACTTCCCGCCCTACACCATGGCGAAATGCTGAGCGGCGGTTTTGCTGCCCGGCTACCAGCACTGCCCGCGTCCCTATCGCTGATGCTGGTATGCTTGATGAGCATGGGTCTTTATCTTTGGGTCTGGCAGATTGGCCGGTAATGAGCACCCCCCATGCCTTCATGCAATTCTGGGTGATTCTAGGTTTCGGTCAGATCTTATGCTCGGTCCAATAGTCCAAGTCAGCCCGAGTGGGTTTCTACAGCGCTTCAGTTGAACTTGCAGTCAGATCGCATATGCTCCGGTTTGGTCGGTTACGCTGCTTGTCACGAGCGTGTACCTTGAACAGACTGCGCAGCGATTGTGTGGACCATGTTCGTGGAAGCTGGAGAACCTTCGACAGCATGCCATGAATTCCGGTGAAATGGCAGCACAGAAAGCCAAGCCAGCTGGATGCCGGAAACCATATTCCAGTGATGCGGATGTTGTAGAAGAACTCCGACATGAACAGCATGAAGCCACAGTGGCAGACCAGACACCAACGTAAACCGGAAGATGACCACGACCGCGACGACCAAGGTGATCAGGGCAAGCCCGACGAACACGAACACTGAAAGATCACGACCAGGACATACCAGGACCACAACGGCAAGCACGACAATCACCGTCACCAGCACCACCACGAGCACGACGATAAAGACCGGCATAACGACCAGGATCATCGCAGAAACGAGGCTGCCGCAGTTTTAATTCTAGACGACGTGTATACTCTGTAGACTGTAGACTTGGTCTCAACTCAACATCTTAGTTCGTCACTTAACCAAACATGCAGCTGAGCAGTCAGTCCCGCGCAGCGATGAAGAAGCGTATGAAAGCATTAATAGTTCCAATTGGCGGAGATTGCTGCCGCACCATGCAGGGACGAACTGCGTTGTCACAGGGCCAGAGACGCACGGCACTTTAGCTTCCTTGCCTTGAGCTGTCGGGGATCGTGTGAAAACAACCAGCAACCAATAGAAAAGCCGGAGCACTAAAGCATCGTCCCATGTTTTCCTGCTCGAGATCCGGGGCGGGCGGCTGAGGGAAAGATCCCCTTTAAGGAAAAAACCCTCGCTCGCGCGGAGGTCCGCCCTCGAAACCAAGCTCCCGACAGCGTACAATTTGAGTGGCACATGACTCATGCATGGGCCCTGTAGCGCTGCGCTGAGGGAAAGATCCCCTTTAAGGAAAAAACCCTCGCTCGCGCGGAGGTCCGCCCTCGAAACCAAGCTCCCTACAGCGTACAATTTGAGTGGCACATGACTCATGCATGGGCCCTGTAGCGCTGCCAGGGCACTTCAGGGGCTCTGAAATTTCGCAGCTGGTTCCTCTACCTCTTTTTCGGAGATCTCGACGTCTATGGCCTCGGTTTTCGAGGTCTTTGGGGTCGCGCTTTTGCGGCTTACCGTGGGCTCGTCGATGTCGATGCCAAGGATTTTTTTGCAGGTGCCCCGCAAAGCCCAGGCGAGCCCAGACACGCCAATCATGAACACGCCGCTGCCCGTTCCGACCGCGACCCACTCCATCTCGGTGAGGCCCAGGGAAGTCTCATCTTCACAGGCATCCCGCTCTTCGTTGGGCTCCTGAGTCTGAAGAATTCTGAAGATCTAGCGGAGGTCACCTATTCTTTTCGACAGGTAACGGTCCTTTCCGTCAGGGCAATCTTCGCAGTCCATCGTCGACTTGTGCAAATACTGATGCTCTGGACATTTCTCAGATGCCATGACCTCAGTCGACACAATCAGCAACAAAAACTCACTTTGACTGTGAGATTCAACTAATTATGCCGCTGTTTTTCGCGTCTGTGCGTCTCTGCGGGCGCGCTTGTTTGCGTGCGTGCGTGGGTGGGTACGTTTGCGTGTGCCATGCGTGTGAGTGTGAGTGTGCGTGTCAGAGCGTGTGGGAGAGAGACTGTAAGTGAGTGAGTGAGTGAGTGAGTGAGTGAGTGAGTGAGTGAGTGTGTGTGTGTGTCTGTGTGTGCACGTGCGTGTGCGTGTGCGTGTGCGTGTGCGTGTGAGCGTGCGTGTGCGTGTGCGTGCGCGTGCGCGTGTGCGTGCGTGTGCACGTGCATGTGGGTGCGGGTGGGGGTGCGGTTTCGTGTGCGTGTGCGTGTGCGAACGTGTGCACGTGCGTTGTGTGTGTGTGTGTGTGTCTCTGNNGGTGTGGGTGTAGGTGTGGGCGTGGGCGTGGGTGTGCGTGAGCGTGCGCGTGTGTGCGTGCACGCGTTCCCGCATCCGCGCCCGCACCCCCGCGCGCGCCCGCGCCTGCGATAGTGTGCGCTTGTGCGCACGTGGGCGCGTGCGGGCGCGCGGGCGTGTCGGCGAGCGGGCGGGCGGGCGCGCGCGCGCGCGCGGGTGTGTGTGTGTGTGTGTGTGTGTGTCTGTCTGTCTGTCTGTCTGTCTGTCTGT